TACAATATAGGGTAATGGAAAACTTCAATTTTCAGCTATGAGCTAAATAAGGTTATTTGAAAATTGTGAAGAAAACAAAAAATACTTTTTTTTTTTTTTTTCTAGAAGGGGATTTAGCATGATAATTTGACATTTCATCTAATATCTAGATCTCTGATATCTTTATTTCATTTTATGTCACAAATTTTATATCATAGAATACTGCAAAATCAACAAAGCCTTCAAGTCTTTTTCTTAGAGTGAGAGTAGATCTACTAAACATTCAGATCATATTTAGCAAGGCCTCAAAAAGGCAAAGACAGGACATGCTTTATGCTGGACCTTTGTGAAAGACATATGGCTTTCAGTAAGATTCCTCAAAGTTGTTTATGAAGCCTATTTTAAATATATTCAGAACTGGATCTGACGTTTACAGGTTGATTTTACTTCCCCATGGCAGCTGAATTGCTCATCATTTTTATTCCCTTAAGCAGAACAGAGAAGTCTGTACTACTGCATAGAAAGATCATTTTAATCAAAAATCTTTTTAATCAAGATTTGCTATCATCCATCTTAATCTTTAATATGTTTGATTGGCTCCTGACTTAGGAACTATACTTGAAAAAAAGTGGTTTCTTCAGAATAGAGGACAATATATTTTCAATCAAGTTGTCTACAAGAAGAAATTCACCTCCAAGCATGACAGGAAACTTCTCATATTCAGAAATCAATGGCTGGTTTTTTTGTTTGTTTCTTTTTTCTTTTTTTTTTTTTTTTCTAATACCAGCTTTCAAACACATATCGGAAAGTCTTTGTGCTTTGCTTCCAAGAACAAAAATCAAGTTGATTGCCAGAGATGCTCTAAATAATACAGTGTTGAGCCAGCATCTGTGGGCCCTTCAATTCCACTTCTTACTGAGATGAAGGGCATGGAAGAATGGAGGTAGGCAGCTAGCAAATAAGCTAGGAAGTGCTGGGCTGATGGACATCGTCAGTTGAAGCAGAGAGTTTTTCACAAATAAGATGCAGTTGCTAGCTGAAAGAAAAATAACTGACAGAATGTCTCAGTTTGAAGTTCAGAATATTGCAGTATTTTCTCAAGTTCCAGGAGTCTTTTGTGAAACAGTCCGTTCAAACAGGATGAAAAAGTTAAAATACAGAACAGAAAATTCCAACTCTTTCTGTTTATTCCTGCTCTTTTCAGTGTGTTGTCCCCATTTGCCTGGAAACCCCAAAATACTTCCATTATGTCCACAAATGACAAGGAAAAAAAATATATATATATTTTTATATGCGATGTTCTCCATCGTCTCTAGAGAGCACTGATCCAGTGTTTGAGCAATCTCTTTTTTGAAGCCTTCTTTTTCCTTTTACCTAAAAAAAATGTTCAATTTCTTTCCATTGTCTTTTGAGTCTGTCACTGTGGATGTCCAGAAATATGGCTCCATCTTCACTATAACAAGCCATAAGATGGCTATTGAAGTAAATAGTTTATTGATAAAAGTAAAGATAATGTATTTATCAAAATCAAATCCAGGGATAATAATAATATCATCAGAGATATTTAAACACTACTGCAATAATAAAATTTATTTACTTTATTTATACATGCTTTATTTACTCATTTATTGTATCCTTAGTCAATAATGACATTGTAGGCAATATACCAACAAAGCCAATTCTACTGCTTATTCCTACCTTCTGCCCCATGTTCCATGCAGTGCATTCCTTCAGATCTGATATATTTTGTGAAAGTATTCTGACATCTGAAGGAGATATTTGAGGCAATATCTCCTAAAAATAGCTGATTTACCATAGTGAATTAAGGCTATATGTATTTTTCTCAGTTGTAATTTTATTAAGTAAAACATTCATTTATTACATCCTGAAACTATTTCTCCCTAAACAATTATTCTTTTATAGAATACCTTTCAGTTCAGCAGACTTCTGCCTTTCAATATCTCATTTCCTAATTTCTGAGATGTAAATATCCTAGAATATAACCAGCATGTCTGATTTTTGTTAATGACTTTCACGTCTTCAGAAATGATTGCATTTTTTCAATGCTTCAGGTTCCCACTAAAAATTATCTTCTTTCGTAACATTTAAAGAAAACATGCCCTTTGTCTTTTATGCAATTATTGCTCAATCATTAATTCAACACTGTAGAATCTCTGAGGGGTTGGCTGCAGGAAAGAGAAAAGGCTAACATAAAAATTACTCAGAACCTGAACCTAGATATCTGTTAAGTATATATGTAGATGTAGAGATAGATATACACAGATATAAGCATAAAAAACTCTCCAGTTCTCTGTCAGATGGAGTAGCTCATCAAAGCAGCTAATTGATAACATACAGTATTCATGCCCTCATCTAATCAGACAAATGTGCTTTGTATTAATTCTGTTACTAGAGCTTTTTTATTCTCAAGGGAAAAAAAAAACTGTTCACATTCAAAATAATATTGGATCTGAACATTCTCAAATTCCTCCACCAAAGGAGGCCAAATTTTATTAACATAAAGGATTTGGGAGCAGGAAAGGAGAAGGTGGCAATATCAATAGAGTCATATTTATTTTATCTAATAGCTTTTCACAATTATTTTTCCATATCTTTAGTCTGATTAAATTCAGTAAAGAGATCCATATTTCATACTTGGAAATAAATGAAAATATTATTATTTTTGGCTATGCCAATCAACCACTTTTTCCTGAAGATGTATGAATTTTTTGGGCATAGTATCAGTAATGTATTCACTGGAACTGATGTAAGGAAATTGAGAGAAAGAGGAATGAAGCTGATTACCAGGAAACTCTGCCCATCAGAGAGAGTAAGTAGGGAGCTGTGAAGGAACAATAAAAGAATAGGAGTTTCATCACAAAAACTGGTAAAATCATAAAAATGTGGAAAACCACCATGCATTTCAAAAGTAGGGTACCACTTCACCCCATTGTTTTCTATAGGCCAAACTGTGATATTTCTGTCAGAGTAAATCCCATGCTATTTTCTGTGGGAGCTTCATTTGTTTGAGGGCATTTGAATTTTACCTTACAATTCTACAGACCCATTTTAGCCTGGGCATGAATGAGCATAATTGCTGTTGACATCAATGAGGTGAGACATAACATAGCACATGGTTTAATTGGATGATGGGATTTGCATTTCCTGTGTGTGCAAGCACTCGTCAGTGGCACACAAGTGTGCTTAGTATCTTATCAAGCACTAACCTTAGGTTTACGTGTTGAGAGCTTAGAGTGTCTCGAATGAATGGTTATATATTCACAACTAAAGCAAGAGCCAGCTTGGATACCGATGGTTTTCATTTAGGTTCCTGCAAGGACAGAAAGAATGTTTAGGTATTAGTAGTACTGATTAGCAAAGAGTTCCCTAGTCTTGAAATATCCAAAGAAATCTAGGAGTATCTTAAAACCTCACAAACCTTTTCAGTTCTGCCCTGGATATCTCTGATAACTTGAATACCCTCAAATGCCAGTGGGAACCATAGAAAGAAATAAGAAATTTGCATTGCTCAACAGCAAGAGTGCAGCTTAATTGTACAGAAAGAAATATTTGTAAGTTATTGTTGCCTGCTTCACTGGAAGGCATAACTGTCTGCTTAACCCATCATAGCAGAGACTGCCAGACTGTCTATATAAAAAAGTGTTTAAAATAGCCGTGTGTCTTCTAGCAAACAAATCACCGTGGCAGAAAGAGTACAGCAGAGACATATAATTGGTCAGGTCACTGCTTTTCTTCTCATTATAAATCAAAGCCTGAATGGCCCTCTCCAGCCATTCTGTGCAGTCTCTGGCTACATTTACCAGGCTTTGTTTCTCCTTTGTGTCACCTCTATTCCTTTGCATACAGTTTATGTTATAACACAGCACCAGTCAGAAAATGCAAGGGTAGCAGCAGCGGAAGAGCTATATGCTCTATGCTCCCGGTTAGGATGAAATAATACAACATTTCCTTTTAGCTTTTACTTTGTCTGCCAGCCATTGTGAAGATTTACCTTGTAAGCCACTATTTCACAGCTTAGTCAAAGCTGTGCACACTGCAATTATGATATCGTATTTTGCCACATGAATTGGTAATGTAAAGAAAGACTAATAGCTGTACAGATACGAAAACCATCAAGAGGGAAAGACTCACAGTTTAAGCTCTTATTAGCCATGATATAGCAGTCTCTAAAAGGACAGCTCTGAGAATCATCTAGAACTTCTCAAATGCCTCTGAGAAATATGCACACATGGTGGTCTTACCCTTGGAAAGTAGGGAGCAAGAGGAGAAATGAGATGTTCTCCTTCTGGTCACTGCGCCCCTCCATCATCATTTCACCTGCTTCCTGGATTTGGTGGTAATCCGTGCTGGGAGGTTGTGGCAAAACTCTTCTGAGTTGAGTCTACTATGAGCTCCTGGTGAAGCAAACAAACAGTTACGACATAAGGCAATGAAAAGAAGGTTCGGAGTACATAAGCATCTCAGAAGTATATGATTCACCCAAGCTCAGAAGAAAAGTTGGGGCAGAGCTGGATGGGATCAAAGATTGCTCTATTCTGGTTTGGTGTCTCCCACTGGGCTTTGTCCTTTGCTTTACAGAATGCATAGAGTGGGGATAAACTGTTGTCATGATTTCTGAATCTGTCTCTGCTGGATGGCAACACAAATTAATAGTAGTTAAATGCCATTATCTGGGACACATGCTTTTCTTGTCCTTGCAGGGGCTGGTCTTTGAAGCATAGGTATAACATTCTGGAAAGAGAAGCCTACTACCTGCTTGTCCTTTTCATAGAATCATAGAATGGTTCAGGGTGGAAGGAATCATCAAGACCCAATCCCCTGACATGGGTAAAGATACAACCCACCAGATCAGACTGCCTAGAGCCCCATCCAACCAGGCACTTCCCCCTGCACAAGATGTGAGACAGGAAAAGTATGGAGATGCTGGGGATTGAACCCAGGACCTCTTACATGCGAAGCAAGCGCTCTCCCGCTGAGCTACATCCCCTGTTCTGGAAAAACAAAAAATTGAGCACCTTACCAATTTGCATATCATCTTTGCTCAGGATCCATGCTAATCTTTACAACATTCCAATTGTAGTATGTGTGCTGCTGAAATGAGCATATGTTTGGCTACTAATCATGAGGAGACAAATAGTGGATTTATCTCCTGGCAATGCAGTCATCCTGAACTTAAAACTCACAAGAATGCTAAGCTGTTCCAGATTAAATGATTATTCTGAATGATTTAGCTTTTCAATGATGCCTAAAAGTGCTCAGGTATCATGGTGGTCTCTAAGAAGCAGACAGTTACACGTTCTGTTGGCAGACCTACAGACATTCAGCACTTATTGATTCCAGTGGTGATTTAGCAGCTCAGAGATGGGTCCATGGGTCCTGGCTGAGGACTTCCAGCTCTTATGCTGCTATGAACATAGTTAGGTACTTCAACTCAAATTCAGCCATCTAAATCTGAGGCAGAAACAAGCAAATGTCAATGACAAAAATAAATTATTGAAATAATAATAATGATTTTTGAAAACATTTAGAAGAAGATATTAATGGAGAAACACAGGAACAGGTTGTGAAGAGAAGTTGTGGATGTCCCATTCCTGGAGACACCCAAGGTGAGGCTGGGTAGGGCTCTGAGCAACCTGATACAGCTGTAGGTGTCCCTGTTCATTGTATGGAAGTTGAACCAGGTGGCCTTTAAAGGTCTCTTCCAACTGAAACAATTATACGGTTCTGCTAACGTTCTTTCTTTTTTTTTTTTTTTCCTCTCTGTGCATTTCTCACAACGTATATTTTTATTTCATAAGGACATATGCATACTCCCATAACTTAAATTACAGCAGTGCTATTAGAACATTTTTCCCTTTCTCTAGCATTAATGTTTGTTACAATTTACCTCCTCAAGTATGATGTTGGACATTTTGATACCCAGTTGATGCTGATTTCTTACCAAGATTACCAACAGAATTCATAAGGATTAATTTTCTGCTGTCCTTTTCTCAAAGCCAAGAGTTCTTTCAAAAACAAATTTCTGCTGGATCATATAAATCCAGCAGCTCCATAATTCCTTTTGAATTTTTGAGAGATCAATTCTCTAACAGTTTCTGTGTAGTAGATTGGTTTCAGCTCCTGCTCAGCATTAATATCATTGTAGTATAAACTGAGAAATGACTGTAATCAAAGTTTCAGTGTTTTCACCAGAACACAGCTAGTTGCTGTGTGGGTGGCAGAAGGGCAAAGGGAGGCTGTGGGGATGCTTTTCTAGGAGACTTCCTGCTGTCACCAAAAATTTAGTCTGGAGACTGTGTGGATAGAAAAAAAAGAAGCTGGACACAATATAATGTATTTTCATAAGGTGCTCTTTCTTGGTCACAGAGAGTTTCACGCTAAATATCTGCTGCTAACAGGTCTCTGCGCTCAACAGCACTTCTTATTGTTTCCTTTAACGTCCTATTTATTTCCACTGAATGCAGGGCTGGTGGGATCTGCAGATGCCATTTAACCTTTCTGCAGGAGGACTCTTCTCAATTTAAAATACACTGTACCTACAGCAGTGACATTGAGTTACATGTCTTACTGCTTTGGATGTCATTTTAACTCCCACAGACCTGGCTGATTATTTCATTTTTTTAACTCAGAATCACATAGTTTGGGATTCACAAGTCACAGAAGTTACAGTACTTTGAAGAGTCACTGGCAAAATAACACCCAGGCACTTCATTTGTTTAATAGCATGTGTAACTTCCCAAACTTATTTCTGCACAGCTAATCTTCTAGAGTTCTTACTGGTAGTTTGAATCTGCTTTTAAATAGATGTGCAGTAGCGTGACAGCCATTTACCTTTTAAGTGTTCCATGATGCTGACAGAAAACTCCCAATTCCTGCATAATGCCAAGAATCTGCCCCAGATAACTAATGACAGTGCATTTACTTTGCTCAGTATCAAGGATAAAGTTTTTGCTCACTATTTCCAATTTATGAGAGTGATGCCTATATGTCAAACCCACACCTGAATTCCAGCATGTTCAGTGGTCACACTGAAACTCTCAGACTGTGGAACTTCTCAATATACAATATCTGAGCAATCTATCAGATGCCAAAATTGGTGCAAGTTACTCAGAAATATTGGGCAGTACTCAGTGCAGTGAAAAGAACTTAATTGTTGTGCCTCTTTATTAAGATTTTCATGGCTAAATTAGGCTTCATTTTAGCACGTTATTATTTTTTAAATAGATTTTGTTTTCTGTAGGAACAGAAATACTGTCGAAGAAATATAGGAGATAGTATTTCTGTGCCCAGTAAAGGTAAAGTGAAGCCTAAATGACATATTCTCCTTTCTGTTAAATAAGATTTTAGTTAGAGAGTACACACTTCTTGACATATCAAAAGCTGTTCAAGAACAGAAAGTACATAAGTGCACTGAGGTAAAAACTTTGATTTTAATTGTTTTTCTGCTGCAGGCTATGAGATTTGGAGACATGCCATATAATTCAGTACATAAATACTAAACCTGAGATATCAGCTAACAGAAAGAGAAGCCAAGAAAGGCTTAGAATCTGTAGACTCACCTCAGAACAAGCTATTACACATGTGATTCTGGGAAGATAACCCCACTCCACAGACCAAACAAGGTACTGACGAGCTCTATCATCCAAAACACATGCATATATTGAGGAAATTCTTTGCGGCCTTGTTTTTTTTTTTCTTTCAACAAGATTAATACTGGGCCTTTGTCAACTCAGAAGTGCAACTAAGCTGAAGTGATGATTTTCTACTCTGCCTGCAGCTGACACTCCAAAGGGTTGGATCGGTTTGAGATTAACTTAACAGACTTTACATGCCAACTTGGAGATACTTACCTTTGTTCTACTCAAGTATGGTCAGTGAAGATGAAAGATTCAATGAAGATGCCAGAGCATATATTTTCAGTGTCCCTGGAGTCACTTGAGCCTGTCCTCTCATTGAGGCTGGCCTCTCATTGTCCCTCTAGAAGAGTATGCACCTCCCATAGATCTAGCTTCACATACACAATCACCATGTGGATGTGCCTGGCAAATGCATACATCCCATTAGCAGACACATGCCAGGGCAGCTAGGTTCTGCACCGTCTACTTGAAGGTGACCTTCACCATCTGCAGGCACTGATCTCCACTGGAGGCCATACTCCAGGTAACAGGCAGGCATATTTATTTGCAAAAAAATAAACAGTGAGTGACAACTAAGATGTTCTCAGATAGAAGAGAATCACAGAATCACAGAATGGCCCAGGTTGGAAGGGATTTCAAGGATCATGAATCTCCAACCCCCCTGCCGTGGGCAGGGTCACTAACCTCCCCATTTAATACTAGACCATGTTGCCCAGGGTCCCATCCAATCTGACTGGATTAGATCTCCCCTAAGACTTGCAAATAACTTACCCTTTTTTTGGAGTTGAGACAGCCTATAAAATCACAAGTGACACAAGGAGACATATTTAGTCAAGAATTTTTGAGTTTAACCTCTGTGTATGATCATCTACACTGAGATGTTTTAATCTGGAACAACAGAAGATCTACATTGTTCCCAGCTGTTTTACATGTCTCCTGTAAGACTTAATCTCTAATTCTTCATTTTCCCATTTGAGCAGTAATCCTTCAGAGGCTTGCATGATGATAAGGAAAAGTTAAATCATTAATGCTGAGAAAGCTTTGTGGCATTTGCATATGTGCCACTACCAAAGAGGAAACTGTTAGCATTCAGACTTTTTAGCCTTCTTTGCCCAGTTTGGAGACTGGTATCAATTCAAACAGTTGTCCTGCATTATTGTCCTGCCTGGTAGCAATGGAATGTTCCAGGTCTACTTTGAAAAAAAGAAACATAAAAGAAAAATAAAGACTGAAATGAATGTCATTCATTTATCGGCTGGATAATTTTTGTTGTTGTTGTTTATTTCGTCTTTTATTTCAGAGTGGTATTTACATTCTTTCCTGCTACTGTTTCACCTCTTTCTTCCACACTGCGTACGTGAGGAGTCGGGTCGGGTGATTAAATGTTGCATAACACTTCCAAACAAGCTCCATGTTTCTTGTAAGAGCATCTGTGATTTGGAGGTAGAAGCAGAGTTCAAGGCAGCCATAAAAAGTATTTTTAGTAACTGTTAAAGTGGATGATTCAGTGACTTTGAATAGATATTGGCTTTGATTGACTTTTTTTTTTTTAAATGTGCATTATATAGATCTGAGCCAGCAACTCAGGCAAAAAAAAAGAACACCAAGAACTTGAGCTGCTGTCTGTGGGTTGGCTGCTGTTAGTACCCAACAAAGCACTGCATATGTGAAGGGCAAGTCACATGTTTATATTCACAGCCTCGTTATGCAGTTTTATGTCTATTTTGAAGGCATCCGTCACAAGAAAAATATGCTTCATTGCCATTTGCATCCTCAGCATCTCTCACTGAAATACCTATGCATACCATAAAGCTCTGACAGAGTTTCTAGGCCATGCAGGGTCAGACTCCAGCAATCAGCCACTGTTCAGACTCAGTCTATCTTGTATAACAATTCAAGTTTTGTAAGATCTATCAGCTACCCAAAAATCTACCCAAAAACAAAACAGCAGCTCCAGAACTTGACCTGACATCACAGATCAGGCATTTTCTCCTAGCATCTTTATGAACATGTGAAGAAACTAGTAATTAAAAGTGAATAAGTGTATTTTTAATTCAGCATCACAAAAACAAAGGAAAAATATAGCTTAGATCTACCAGTATCAATAATTAAATAGAAATCAAGCATTGTGATGTGAAAATAAGTATGAACAATTTAGTAGAGTGAAATGATAAAATAGGCTTAACTTTACTTTTTAAGCACTAATATTTAATAAAGGTATACACACAATTTGATATCAAGCTCAGTAGAAGGGTTTCAAGGAAAGCTGAAGAAATGGCTGACAACTGCACCCAATTAAGGGGTCCAAACCTGCCTGCAAGAACAGGGAAAGTGTTTGCAGAGTGAAGCGAGGGATGCAATGAATGTGACATCAAAAACAACATGAGACAAAAACACTGTCATGCTAATAAGAAATATTCTGTAAGTTTGATTGAGATTAATTACTGCAGCATTTTAATAGCAACTT